AGCTTTTCGAGCCATGATCTCTCCCAGCTTAGTCCATTCATTTTACGGCTTACACTTTCTATCTCCTCCTCTTTGGAAGCAAAAACAAGTATATCTCCAGGACCCTCCATATGAATCTGCACCGCAGTTTGAATTGCTGCCTCCATGTAATCACTTTCAGGCTCTTGGGAGTAAACAATTTCCACTGGATGGAGGCTGACAGGAATAGTGAAGAACGTTGGTCCCGAATACAAATAAGTATGAACAACACTAACAGCGTCAAGAGTAGCAGCACTCATCACAAACAGACTCAGGTCCCGTCTAATTCTCACCGCTTTCTTCAGAAGCGCAAGCAGAAGATCCGTGGCTAAACTTCTTTCGTGAAACTCATCAACAATTATGACATTGTATCTGCCAAGCAGTTGGATTCAATTCTATGGATGTGGTTTGTCACCACTCCACTCTCCCCGACATTTTCCCTCTGTAATCTTGGCAGCCTCACGACCAAGTTCAGATCAAGTTGAAGTTGAAGATGGTTTTTCTTGTTTTGTTTTTGGTCGGTAAGTTGAAGTTGCTCTTGTTTTATTGTTGCTAAATATTGAAGAAGCAAATAAGGGGAACCCCTGGCCTTGTTTGTTTCTTGAGTCCTTTTTGTTTTAACTTTTAATTACAGTATCAGCAAGGAAAGGGCAAAAAAAAGAAGATGAACTTCTTACTATGGTCAAATTGTCTATACAATTCATCTTTTATAAGGCATGATTACAATTTACATGCAAATTGCAATGCATTAATCTTCAAAGAATATTCTGCCAGGAATATGCAAGACGCAGGCCCAGCTTCCTCTTCAATACTTCCATCCCATGCTTTCACCAGAATGAGAAAATCAGTGATGTTTCTTCCCCTCTGAAAAGAGCAGAAACCAGTTTTAAGTTTGTGCAGTTTACAAGCGATTCTCCAAGAGATCAGGCAGTGTTATCTTCCCGGAGTGGTTCTGATCAAGCTTACTGAACTGATTGCAGATTTGTAATATATCTTTCTCCCCTATCTTTCCCATCTCTTTAAGCTTGTGAATAACATACTCTGATTTACTGAAATAAGCATTGGAGCAAAACAATGTCGGGATGTTATACTAAATCATTGGTTACTTCTAAAAAATTATTGAAGATGATAAATAACAGTTAAAAATGGGAAAATGTAAATGACAGATAAGATGGGATTATGGAAAGCCACCTGATGAAACCATGGTTATTGATGTTGGCAGCAAGCAGATCCTGGACAGTGATATCCCGATCCAAAACCCACTTGATAATCCTCCTATGTCTTTTGTCCACTCTGGCCTCTGCCAAATACATGAACGCCCGAGCCACCGCCAGTGTCGAAAACAGAAGCCACACCGCAGCGAAGAGCCTCCCTTGAATAGTCTTGAAGGCCCTGTCCCCGTACCCAACCGTCGTAACCGACATAACTGACAAGTAAATAGAATCAATCCAATTCAAATTCTCCACAAAACAGAGAACCAAAGCTCCCATGCCAATGGACAACACCACCACTCCAAGCGCCAGACCAACCTTGAGCCTGATTCTCATCCTGCCCTTTGCCACATCAACAATATAGTCCCTAGCGGAAAAGCGATGAGAGTGAGCCTGAGCCTGAGCCTGAGCCTGGCCCATTTGAATTCCGGTCAAGATCATATTTTCTTGCAAGTCCAGCACAAAATTGACAACCCCACTTAGCAAGATGTCAATAAAACCAAACCCAAAAAGCACAAACACACAAGCAAAAATCTTTGTGAATGGTGTGGTGGGTGCAATGTCACCGTACCCAATGGTGCACATGGTGACTATACAGAAGTAGAGGGCGTCGACAACCGGGTGGGTTTCTATGCCGGAAAACTTGTCCCTGTTGAAAGAGTAAATTACAACACCGAGAGAAAGATATATGAGGAGCAAGAAGACGGCTTGCCTGATGATGGAGCTGGACTCGGACTGTGGTTTGGGGATTTGGGTCGTCTTTGGCTTGAGGTCTCGCATTACGGCCATGGCCGGGGCTGTCTTGCAACGGTGGAGAGTACCCGGTTTCTTGGTGCGGGCACTCGGGGCTCCGAATTGGGTTGTTGAGGTGGAGGAGGAGGACTGTGGGTCTTGCTGTACATGATGCTGCTGGGGCTCTTGGAAGATGAGCAAAGTTGGGTCGCTGGGAGACGGAGCGATTTTGAATGAGAAATCATGGTCCTCAATTATGGGTTGGAGTTGGTGTTGGGGCCCCGTTTGGGAGCCGAGAAAAGGCTCATTTTCCATCAGAAAAAAAAAGAGGGAATAGATTCTCTTCGGAGGTA